AAAGAAGGGTTGGGAAATGGGTGTAGTGCCTCGAATTTCGCTGTGTTGGTAGGTAGGGCCTGAATACTAGTCATTCTCCGTCGCACGTCGCGCTCAACAAGGACTGCATTGCCGGCGATGTCGACCACGGGGTTGCCGGCGGCATCTTTTGAGGGGATGTGATGTTTTTGGGTGACGAGCTTGGATTGGTGGCGATAGCCGCCGTTTATGAGGAGATGGATTGAGTTGAGGTAGGACGTTACTGTCCTGGTTGTTTGTTGGATTTGGGGCCTAGCATCTCGTCAGCACGTGTCTCGCTCGGTACGGTGATAGTCCATGTTCCGCGCTCCAAGCCTGGCTTGAAGGATATCATAAACGGAGATATCTTATTGCGCGTAGCAAAGTAATGAGACGCGAAGAATTCGGATCAGACGACACGTGCGCGAGACAAAGCTGCATAACAAACACACCCACATCCCAACGTGAACGAACTCACTACCAGCCGCTCACTTACCAATCTACAACCTCGCCTCGACTCATCTTATATTGCATCTCAGCCTGCAACCGTTCCATACCCTTGATCATCGGCATCAACTGACTGCGCAGCTGGTCCAACAGCCTGATGTCCTCCCGATCGGGCGCACCCTGGAAGTTTTGATTCATTTTGACCTGTGGTTCCCAGCTCTTAACTTTGACTACCAACTCTTTTACACTGAGGATTGACCTAGGTTCGCGCGAATGCAGAGTGCGTGGAAGGGAACGAAAGCTGATGTGAAGATGTGGAGGTGCTTGAGGATGGTTGGAGTGATTGGTTGATGAATGCGACTTTAGCACGAGGCGCTTGTAGGATTTGGGCTTAGTGTTCTTGGCGCGGCAGGAAGCTTGGAGAAGGGACGGCTTCGCGTTCTTCCATCAAAATATGTATAGTACGCAGAAGTTCGAGTCATCTTACTGGATGCGACAGAAATTCATGGATAACATAGCATTGTTGACGATGACAGTTGAGATGCTAAATAGAAGCGATACCACTTGGCGAAGAAAGCTTCCAGCGCTCCGACAATCCCTCTATTACACCCGTCCATAGCCTCAACTCTCGCGTCAACTCATCAGACCTTCTCTCCAACAAGCGCAACGACACTAGCGAAACCTGCGTCAGGCTTAGGCTCGACAGACAGCTTTCCCTCATCGGGGTACCAATCAGCCGTGTGGGTAATGTCACTCTCTCCGTCCGCGTCCCTGTTGACGGCAACGAGAATACCAAAGAGGCGGATGGTCCCGCCGCTTCCAACATGACTGTCAAACTCTGTGATCGTGTCGCCAGAGAATTCGACTTCGAAGGCTAGGCTCGAGACGACGACGAACTTCACGACGCGGGCCAATCCCTTGACTTCGTCTGGGGCGTCGCTCTTGAGTTTGTAGGTAGAGTTGCCGCGGATGTCCCTGTTTCTTGAATAAGCAACTGTCTAGGTAATATGTTGAGAGGGGATGGAGGTAAGGGATGTGCACGTACCACCTTCCCGATTGAACGTCAATCGCGCGGAATTGATCGTCCCAAGACATGGTGATTGTAGTGTGGACTTGATCTCCGTCGGTGAGCACGGGCCCCTCCTCCGATTGACCGTCGTTGACATCCAGAGAGAGCCAAGGCACATAGTGATCACCGCCTCCATTCGTGTGGTTGAAGCTATTCTCATCAACGCTGTTTCCGGTGTTGAAGTCGAAAGACACTTCACCGCGCGACTTGTTGGCATCGCCCCGATTCCTCAACCAATCCATGACCTGCTCAGGGTAGTTCGCAGCAGAGTAGAATGGAACATGGTAGTCGGCATTGGATGGTGCCACGGCTTTGTTGGCCGTGATCTGCTGTAGTATGGCGTCGGCATCCGAGGCACCAAGGGCGGTGACGGGCATGTTGATGCTGGACCAGCTGTCAGATCTTGGACCATTGTCATGAACACTATTTAGCTTACCCTGGGCGCGGCTGAGGATCAACAGCAGCTTGCATACGTTTTTTGTCCTGTACGTACGGCACTGCACTGCCGCCATAGGTTTGCATTGTGAACATGTCGGTTTGAGATACAGCGTTGTTGTAGTGCGCCACCGATGCCTGGAGTTGTGGTTGATTCTGCACGCTCCAGGAGGTCCAGGTCTCATCGGGAGCAGCGTAGTCGCTCTTGTACTTCTCCCATCGTGTTCTGGCCTTTCTTGTGGCATCATCCAACGCATATCTTGCTGCTTCTTGGTTCATGATTGCTGCGTGCAAGTGTTGCATTTGAGCAGAACTTGGATTACCGCCCTAATTTATCCAATCAGCATTTCTTCCTGCTATATGGGTGATGGTATTGCTTACCAGATCAACGTGGTCCATGTACTTCAGAAGCGCACGGGAGAATGACTTCTCCTCAGACGGGTCGTAGAATAGATTGTCGGTGTGCAATTGACTGTCGCAAATCTCGTACAGCCCCTGGTTGGTGTACTTTGGATCAATCAGATTGGGAGGCCCAGCAAGTGGTGCACGTTGAGGTTTAGTGCTAAAGAAGTAGGCGGTATTGTTGCCGGCATCATCTCCAAGCTGAGTTCGGATGGCATCGCAGTAAGCAAGCCAGAATGACTTGTTGGCGTCGTTTGAAGACATTTTTGGAGGGTCAATTGAGAAAAGTCGAAGAAATATTGAGTGCAGTACAATATATAGCGCAGTGCAGAAGTGCTCTCGAATATGTTATTGTATTGTCACGGGAAAAATGATGCTTTATGTAGCAACAAGTCTCTTGGAAAGAGCGAACCCAGAACAGTAATGTGCTACCACTACTTCGCCGACTCACCGTAACAGTGGTCCGTTCGGTGCGAATCTCATCGCAGATCAAGACAAAGAGTCAGGAAGCCAGCTGAAGACGCTGCCACGATCCTGTCTGTCGGCTCCATTTATGTGGGAAGTGGAGAATCACACTGCGTAAGTGTACCTGAGTAGCGAATGTAGAACGTCGAAGTTCCAGGTACTGATTGAACAAGCTGAGGTCGATTTCACCATCGCTGTGTAGCTCATGCGACTGGTCGAATTGTAAACTTAAACTTGAGGCATTCGGCATATGTACGGAACTCTTTGGCGATGGCGCGGCGGAACTGGAACTGAGCCAAACCTGAAGGAGGCAGGATCTCGTAACCCTTGTCATAGACGCATGTGCTTGCATTTGCGGATGATGTCAGACCACGAATTTGAGAACGATTCTGAGGGTAGCTCGAGTCATGGCGGATGCGATGATGTCGGCAGATCTCCCCGATGTGGATAGAAACCTTGGGAAGAAGAAGCAACCATAAGCGAAGGGACAGCGCAGCTGCCGGAGTGTTGTTCGGACTGGCCGGCACTAGTGAATCAGTCCGATGTTGGCGTGGTCTTCATCCGTATCGTGTTGACGCGGAATCATGTTCTGTTGTTGTGACCTAGACATGCTCGGCGGTCTAGGACTTCATAGCTGCGGCGTTCTTTGTTATGAGGAAGTACAGCTAGAGCAGGTTTGCAGTGCTTCGAATCGCACTGCTCGAATGGTACCCGCTATTCACCCTATCGCTTATGAACCTCGTAAAGATGAAGACTGGAAGATGGCCAGGGTAGACGCGCAGTGTGATCAGCGTGGCCTGGCAATCTGGCCGAGCTGAATGTTGCGCGTTTGCTGCACGATGTCACCTTCTGACAGAACGTGGCAGTCCGCTCTAGTCGATCTCTCTGCGGGTGAGGCGGAACCAGCCTGCTTGCTGCCGTGCGGATCATCCGCTGGTCGCAGGTGTGGACCTCGGGATGTGATCAGCGGAGTGCGGGTACTAGCTCACCCGCTAGTGCATCAACAACCCCAAAACACCCTCTAGTGCCAACGCGAAAGTTAGAATTAAGAGAAGCTCGCTTCTACCTCGTAACAAAGATGCAGTACAACAACATCTTCCTTAAAATTTAAAAAAAAGTAGAGCTGCTCTTAAAAGTCTCTACTTTAATTCTATTTTATTAGAATATTACTTTTATGTTGTTGTTGTAGTAGTAGAGCACCCTACCCTCTACTACCTTATTTCTAGCTTTCGCGTCGGCACTAGAGACACCTTCAGGGCTCCTTCTGTAAGCGACAGAATGGACAGCATTGGTCAAGAGCTTTCGGGTAAGTGCATTTCAGCACATCACAATGCCGCAGACGAGGATCAACATCACCCCTCATCTAGTCGAGAACGTGGTCCGCATTCCTTCACTGCATTCGCCCTATGCAGTGATACCCTGGAATTCGAGGGTCAGGGGCCTTGGAGAGGATTCGGCGTTCCTATGATTTTGACTACTACTACTGGAGATCTTGCGGGTAGTGTGTAGATCTTTGTCCCTGTTGATCCGAGCGGTGAATGCGTGGAGGAGACCTTAGCACGAAGCTCACACCATTGCAGGCACCGTTGGCAGTGTCACTGGTAGTTACATATGACGTAGAGCTTGGATAATGTTCATTCTTCGTATTGATCAGCGACCGTGATTTCGTATCTACATAGCGCTTCATATCATATCGACATCCCTGGGTATTATTTCCACCAAACCACCCTTGACTTTCGATTCCCCCGAATGTTGCCCAATGTGTTGGTTAGGATCCTATCACGTGATTCACCCACTAGCGTCGCCCTAGTAGTATATATACAGGGCTTCCTCCCTCTTACATAGAACAATCATCACATCTTTCTCTTCTTGTTCTACACAATGCCAGCATGTACCAACCCAGTCGAAGAAGATATTACATAGATGTGTGCGTGTCGTTGTCGTGATGATGCGTCCAGGCTTGCGCCGTTCTTTGTAGTTGTTGTTGTTGTAATGCTAAGCCGCCATTTTGCTATGCAAGCTGAGTGAAAGAAGAACAGAACGAGGGTATAAGGGAAAGTCAAACGCTTGAACGCAGCAGAACGCCAGTGAAACCCATAAATACAAGAAACTCATTATGAGTAGTAGTGAAGGAAATAGCCACCAGGACTGTGGGAGCGCAGCTCAGAAGAATTGAAGATGATGTTCAGACGCTGACGGTTCGTCGGACGCCTACCTCGGGCTTCTTCGCGTAGCCGATGAGGAGTTTGAAGCTAGTGCCGCGCTTCTCGCACTCGTTGATGAGGCTTTGGTCGCGCCAGATGCTGGTCTCCAGAAGGTTGCCGGAAGTAGCGGCGCCAGGCTGGCCGGCCTCAGGTAGGACGAGCGACTCGTAACAACGTGAGTACCACCATCGACCTACGCGCGCCACCATGTCGGTGATGCCGGTATCGTTCGAATCGGAGGACGAGGTGGCGTTGAGCAGATCGGAGAAGGATACTTCAGGCTTGGGACCTTTTGGTGCAGGCATGTTGTTTGTCTTGCTAGAAGAGCTGGCTGTGCTGCCCTTCCTCTTCGTGATGTTCTGCTTGACGTCATCGAGGTTAGGTAGTTTGCCGGCGACCGGAACGCCGACAACGCAGCGATTGCACTCAACGAAACCCTTGCGCCCGATGCCAGCCATGACTTCGTCACTGATGTTGCGAAGCGAAATGCTTTCATCTGCGACTTGCATCCTCATCTTAAGCCCACGAACAGCGCGACGAGCACGGTTGCCCATGTTGACTAGGTCCATGTCAAGGACTGAGAACTCAAGGTACCCACCAGGTCTAAGGACGCGCTTGGCTTCAGACAGGATGAAGCGGTGTTCCGACGAGGGAAGTGCAGTGGGGAAGCGAAGCACGACGCAGGCGAAGAAGTGCATGGGAAACGGGAAGGCCTTGCCGAGAGAGGGGTGGTAGATGTGACGGTGGTTGCTGAGTGTTGACAATGGCTCAGAAGCGCCCTCGGTTGATGCAGTGGGTGATGGATCGGGGCCCATGTCATAGACAGTCGCTTCAGGGTATGTGAGTGCGCAGTAGTAAGACCAGTCTTTGCCAAGACCATCGATGACAAGTACGCGGTCCTCGCTTGGGTCTTTCAATTCAAAGTGCACGGGGCTGAACAAGACGCGTCCGAACGAGAGCCACTTGCTTGTCATGAGAGCGCCAAAGCGAAGGTTTGCCATCGACAAGAGCCCGTCCGCCTGGCTTTCGGCAATGTCCATCATGCGTGTGTCGCGGTAATGGGTGGTGCTGGCACTGTCGCGATCTTTGCTGGACCTTGAAGCAATGGTGGCTTTGGACTGTCGAGCACTCTGCGACAACGAGGCTGGGAGACTGGAGCGAGTCGAACGCTTTGTAGCAGTCCCAGCCGATAGCTGAGGACTGGAAGGTAAGCTCAGTCTGCCAGTAACAGGGTCAATGACGCTGATCTTGCGCTCGCCGTAGTCAGAGATGAACTCCGAGAAAGAGATCGACGACGTAGGTGACTGCGTCGAGTGCAAAACAGCAAGTAGACGAGAGCGACGAAGATGAAGTGAGGGGTTCGCAACTTCATCATTGTCTGATCCTGAAATGTTGCGCGGGGCTTTGGGTCTCAAAGGCATTGGCTCGAGAGAAGGGTGACTGCGAAGGCTGTTGTTGTCTTCCTTCGTGCGAGAGGTGACAGGCGAGAGCACCTGATCGATCAGGTCGTCATACTCGTTCCAGAGTTCATCGTCTGAGAGCGGCGCGCTAGGACTCGGTACGACAGCGGTACCAGCAGCAGGTGCAAAGCTCCAGATACCCGAGCTACTTGAGTAGGATACCTCGGAGTCTTTACGAGGTGGGAACTTGAAGAACTCGCTCCGACGATTGGCCTCATCTTCCATAGGGCTAATAGTAGCGATAGCCGATCCATGGGTCAGAGCGGTTAGACCGTGCAGAATAGGATATGGCTCCACCGGACCAGCAATTGCGACAACAGATCCAATGGAATCGAAAGATGTTCGTGGGGGAGCTGTTGGACGAGGTTGGTTCGACACAAAAGGACGAGAGAACGAACGCGAAGACGGGCGAGGTGCCTGACGACGACTAGATACGACCTGAGGGATACGGCCAACTTGCGCCAAGCGACTTGGTCGAGGGGGTGGGCTCGTAGGCGGCGGACCAGGTGATGGAAGATTCTGAGGAAGAACAAATTCTTCTTGTGCGGGTGCATCGTGAACTGGCTCTTGCTCGGGCTCGGGCATGTGAGAGGGAACTGCTACATCCAGCGGCGGCGCAGAGCCTTCGTCGCGCATCGGCGAAGGTTCATGAAACGGTGACGAGGGTCGAGAAAGGTCCGTAACAGGGGTCAGGTCACCCAGCGAGTAGCGCTCAGAGTTTCGGGAAACGGATCGAACATTCGTGTCGATACTCAACTTGCTCTGTTGCTGTTCCGGTTGTTGTTGCGCTTCAGAGCGTAGAAAGACCTTGGGCGAAGCCGAGCGGGGTGCTGTCAGGGTAGATGGCAACACTGGTTTAGGTGGGAGAAGCATGGACTGCATTCGCTCTTTCCTTCCTGGTTCGTCATCGGAGAGGGCGCTCTCAGTCCCCTCATCGACCTCCTGCATCAACTGCTCAATGTCGTCCAATTCAAGCCCGGACTGGTCCATCAACGCGTAGTGTGCGACGGAGCGAGAAACAGTTGCTTGGTTGGAAGGGCTGGCGGTAGGCGCAGCTGGTGTTGGGGCGCGTGGTCCGGCATGGGCACGTTGAAAGAAGTTCCATCTTTTTGAAGGCTTCGGCGCCTCCTTCTCAGCCTTACCTTTCTTGGACGACTTCAACCAAGAGCCCTCTTTGATATCAGCGCCTGTCTCGCTTATCGAGTTCTTGCGGATCTTCCCAGTGATCCGGCTGTTCGACCCTGACGGTGCGCTAGGGCCCTGTGCGCTTTGTAGAGCTCGTGACGTCCGTTTCGAGGCCATGGAGGGTAGGAAGGACCTCTTAGTATCGTCATCACTCTCGGAAGGTCTTCGCAATCCCATAGTCATCTTCTTCATTGGAGATCCGTTACGTGAATTGTCGGGCATAGCAGAAGGCAGCAATGTTGGCCGGTTCTTCTCTAGGGCTGATTGCGATGTGTTGCTCACTGTCTTGTTCAGTTCCAATCCATGACCAACCGAAACATCTAGACTGCTGGTAGAATGCATTGGTTCGGGGCTTCGAGACAGCTCTGAGCTAGTGCCGGTACCTCGGATGACGACAGGAGCGAGGCGATTGAGGAAGAAATCGTCCATCTCACCGCTGGTCGTGCTAGTCATGCTACTTTTGCGAGTTGAGGGGGTTTTGTCCAAGCTCTCAGAAGTTGTTCCGGCGCTGGCGGATCGTCCAATGCTGTTTGTACTGACTGAGCTTCCACTTCGACCTCTCACTGCATATCTTCCATATCCTTCGTGACCGGTACCTGCAGCTGGCCCTCTCCTGTGAAGCTTGCTTTCAGACTTCGCTGATGGGGTAGGCTCGGTTTTGGTACGACGCGTGAAGAACCCAAATCTAGAGGATTTACTTGGGCTTGGAGCGGGCGCTGGTGTTGGTGCTGGTCCGGTGCTGGTCCTTCGTGGCTTTCGATCTTGCTGAACGTCGGGTGTCGGTCCACGAACTGGGGCTCTGGTAGCTGCTGGCAATGTTGAGGAAGGATTTGGCGAGGGATTTCGGGAAGAAGGTTTGGTTGGAATGCTAATTTTAGATCTTCCAGCAGTAAATCCATTCCTAGATTCCGATGAAGCGGTTCTTTTGTGTTGAGATGGAAAGTTGAGCATATTGCTCTGGATGATTGGGGATGGGCCACGGAGCCCCGATAATTCTGGTGTACCATCTCTGCTGGGTCTTGACGGTCGCCTTGATGTTGGCATTGACGCAGGCGACTGATCGGCGAGATGAGCGAACTCCGGGGGCGCCTGCGTGCGAGGTCGTTCTTCTGCTCTTGGAATCACATCAGACGTCCGAGGACTCTGCGGCAGGGTAGCGAGACCGTTAGGTGACTGGACGTCCTTGTGTTTCGCGCCATCAGTAATAACGGTGGATGCTGCTGATGATGATGAGGTGGAAGACTCTCTGACGGTGGAGAGTGTGTGGGGATGACGAGTGCTGACTTCGTCCGGAGTCTTGTGTCGGGTGACTGGCGGTCTGCTCTGCAGAGGACTCGCCTGCCGTGTCCGATTCGAGGCTCGCGATAGTGTTGTACCAGGAGAATAAGACGACATCGATGTAGGAGTTGAGGAGACACTGAAAGGTCCAGGGGAATCCGTGTAGCGAGACGAAGGTGTCGCTGAGAGTGCATACTGCGGTGTTGGGAGAGGAAGTATGTCTGTAGGGCCGATCTCATAGTCGTAGAGTGGGTTACTGTAGGAATCGACCTGAGCCTCTGAACGAGCGAAGATGTTGGATGATGGCGGTATCGAAATACCCAGAACTGTCTCAGAGAAAGGATCCTTGTATCCTCCGGGTATTCCCTCCATTAATTGCCTATCATCTTGGGATGAAATTGAGCCGTCTCTTATCCGCGTAACCTGCCTGCCAGTTGCAGACCCAACACTTGTTTGTTTCCTTCTGAGCACATTCGAACGAGGACTCTCGATAGTTGAGGCAGAAGAGCCTGAGGCGAGCGAGGGTGTGCGTATGCTTGGAGGAACTTCAAGCTTTGGTAACCGGGAAGTCGATGTTTGTTGTGAGGGTTTCGAGTTTGCGATACTCGGGTGTTGAGGGAACATAGGCGTAGACCGACTGGTCTTCCTTTGACGCGAGCTAAGTGCTTGTGCGGGACCTTGTTGACTCGTCGAGACTTTGGCGTTCACTTCTTCGTCCTTTGAAGGCCTCCTCTTTTGCAGTTTAGATTGGCCTGGGGTGGGTAGTTGTGAGGTGGTTGTGGTAGGGGTGACAGATCGTTGAGGCAACCGAGTAGTTGGCGCCCGGTCCTCTGTCCTCCTTGGGGGAGGGTAGTGTGACTTATAGGAAGCCATTTCGGGTAACCTTGTGTAGCCCGGGTAGATGTGCAACGGAACCCTGTGTACGCCGAGAGATTCATGAAAGCATGTGCTTATCCACCTATGAGACCCTTGAAATCGAAGGCTTTGACGTGGGGTAACCTGACAGTCGAAGGTTTGGGACCGTCAGCAGTTTCAGCTCGGGAAGCCGTGATGTACGAGCGGCTGATGGCGGGAAGGCTAGAGTAACGGGACGGAGGTGGCGATTCGGAAATATTACAAAGACGTGAGTTTGCAAGTCCATGAATATAAGTCATCCAGCCACAAGGTACATGCAGTCCTACGTCCCCGTGCAGAGTTACGGTGAGTTGTTGCGACTCTTTCTCGTGTGCCACATCTATCGGCGGGACCGAGATCGTAGGGTGTGGCGCAGCGGCAAAGCCCGAGATGGGGCTGTGCAGGGATTCGCAGTTGGGACCAGGAAAATCGACAACGATGCGTACAAGGAGCAACGAGACGACGAGTGATATTATACTCGTGCTTTCAACGGCAACTCGCGCGTCCCGTCTATTCCACCCTCAGGGTCGACTGTCCAAGCGCGGGGCTTGCACCCTAAGTCGCCTCAGTGGGGCTTTCGCGGGTGAGCCGTGTCGAGAACGGAGGACCAGTCCAGATGCTCAAACGAGGTAGGCCTGGCTGATGCGATAGTGTAGTGTTTCTGGCAGGCTCAACGTCGCAATCTGTTGGTTAGGAGCGATTCGACGCTTGTTGCGGTTGCGGGGTGCGTAGGCTTGCATATGTATAACGTCGCGACGGACGCATCACGACGCGTAGACTTGTTCGCAGAGAACCGGCGCCGGCGGCCTTGCGAAGTTGGGCTTGTCCGGCACGGAGACATGGTGGGCTATTACGGGCGCTTGCGCTTGGATAGGCGGGTGGAGGCCTCTGGCTTGATGAAAGAAGGCAGCCAGTTGAGTTGCTGGATGGCCATGGTGGGTGACGATTCGTAGACAGACCTTGTGCGGCGCCAGCCAAGCGGAATGCCCAATTGGCTGTCAGGTTACCCCTACTCGTCGTTTACCCACCAACTTGATGCCGTTTCAGATACTCAGCAACCCTTACCAGAAGCCTCGTGTTTGCTATCAATTTTTCACGCTCGTCTCGTGACAGGGCTGGCATCATGAGAAGCTGAGGCTGCAAGCTTAGCGAGAGGCCTATATGTGCGCCCGTCAAGTCGCGACGATACTCGTTTGCAAAACTGCGCTTCCAGCTGCAATAGTATGCCTCCAACTATCCTCAGCTGTTCCAAAGCACGCGATGATCAGCCATCGAATACTCTATCGCACTCGAAAAGGACCGATACAGGCACTCGGAGCTCGCATGCACCTGTCTTGAACAGGACAGAGCGCACATTCGTTGAGAAGCCTTTTACCGTCGAGGGTTGTCTGGCTGTTCAATCAGGACCCGCAGGGCAACAGGCGGCTTGCCCATGCAGAAGAGTCATATGCTGCTCTGAGCGATTTTCGCGAATGCACGTCCAACGGTTCCTGCAACTCTTGTTGCTATTCTCGTGACCACTTTCATGCATTGGCGAAAAATCCTGCAGATGCGCTTCTGGGGTTGTGGCATTATGCCGTCCAGCCGGAAGGCCCGTTTCTGGCAAGCTGAGATGTGGCTAAGTGCAGCAACTCGGCTCTTAGTTTGAGGCTGAGCAGCCGATCGCCCTCGCCACTTTGACAACGCATCAAAAGCCTCGTAGGTCGCGAGCCATCAAGATCATTACAACTTGACCCTTCTCTACGATGGCGAAAATATCCTCTTCTGCTAATCGCAACGGTCTCATCCACGATTCGGGGGCAGGGCCGCTTTCTGTCGGCCATGTCCCACTGCCCAGGTCGCGCTTAATCCCACTACACCTGGTGATCCCTGTTCTGCACGCTCATTCGCACGCCATCAATGTGAGAAATGTGAGAAAAACGGGTAGCCACCGCACTTGACGGTCATGTGACGACGCCTTACTGAATAGAGAAGAGTCTGGTGAAGGACGACTGCCAATGAGAGATGGAATCCGGCTTTCAACGCTGTCACTTGCAGCGGCTACAAGCAGGGGGTTCATAGGCCTCATCCGCGCAAACCACCTACCCATCCATGATTGCGACACGAAGCTTGACCGATGTGATTTTCCGATGATCCTAATCAGCATAGATGCTGATATCCTGTTCACTTCACCTGAAGGGTGGTCGTAGTGTTGTTGGTGGACCCAAAGGAGTATTGCACACCTCAACACATACGTCAGCATCGTCGAGTCTAGAACATCTGGCCAAAACTCATTCAGTGCCAGACATAGTTTGACGTTACTAGTTTCTGATGTCGCAATGCCTGACTTCTAGGTCCGTTCTAGTCACCTAGGCTGCTGGTTGCGATCCAAACACCAGCTCTTGATAGCCGCCGACTGATCAAAGATATGACATATTTCGGTGACAATCTGCGTTTGTAAGGCAGTGACCACTGCGGGCCCATCAGCCATGGTGACCCCGTCCAGGTTCATGCTCTGGCCGCACCCGTTAGTTGAATCGAGCAGAGAAGGTAAGGGAGGGCGGCACGGCGCGGTCACTTCAACCTCTGCGAATCATCTGGCGTAGGTGCTGTATAGCCCTGTGAGCTGTGGTGGAGCTCGGCCCGCTGCGGTACCAATCTTGAGCAAGTCGTTGCGAAGTGACCGTGCGAGAGTGATGATGATTGTCTAGTGCGAAACTTAAAGATACTGGATCGGGCTGGTCGTTGAGCCGTTCGGAGACACTTGTGAGACCAAAGGGCAGTCGGCGAGTATGACTCTTAGTATTAACGCCTCGCAACGCTGCTAGTCGCCGTTCATCGGGCGTGTATCCTTTTGAAGTGTGTTGTGCGAAGTGAGGAGGCCGATCACACGGGTGAGTCCACACAGTTCGTTCGTATGCCCTATATCATCCTCAGAAAAGGCTCCGATGCCGGCGTTGACTCATTGCGTATCTTGTGTGCCTCTTGATCACGGAAAGTCTCTTGGAGAGCTGGAACTCCGGGATGTGACGGGGACTTCCTTGGTCGTAATGTGAGCGATCGTAAGCACTGAGACAACGGTCAAGGATATGTCCTGTAGTACCATTCTCTGGTATGCGCGTGATGCGTCTCATAAGCATTTGTTTCCTTAGATCTCTTTTCTTTTTTCTAGAGTACGCTTCGACACACCTCCGCTCATTTTGCAGTGTTCACAAGAGCTTCCGGCGGAGCCTTCTGAGGCGAGGAGATTTGCTGTGTTATAAGCTTGCTGCAATTGCCTCCTGCGTTCGCCATCTCTTCTGCTTGAAAGATCTGTAGCACACATGATCAGGGTGGCTGACATGTCCTGACACTTGGTTGGTCAGTTTGAGAGCACGTCACGTGATCGCGCGCCAAATCAACCAACATCGCTGGAGGACGCGTCGATGCAACCACATCTCAACTGTCAACATGTCGAAACAGCAGAAGGTTACTCAATACCAGGAGCGCGTTTATACAGCCCTTCAGATGATCCCAGAGGGTCGCGTCACGACGTATGCAGCCATCTCAAAGGCTCTAAACAGCTCTCCTCGCGCGGTGGGTGGTGCGCTGCGCGTCAACCCGTTCTGTCCAGAGGTACCATGCCATCGGTGTATCGCCAGTACTGGTGTACGTTTGTCATTATCTGTGTGTGAGTACCAGTACTGATTGAACAGTTCGTTGGCGGATACAAGGGTGACTGGGAGAAAGCACCCAGTGGCCAGAACCAGGATTCGAAGCTGCAGCTGCTGAATGAAGAAGGGGTCTCGTTCGATGCAGATGGATTCTTGGTCGATAAGACATTGCTGTGGGATGATTTTGACGTGGAAAAGTTGAAGTAATTGTGATGGAAGCGTGGAGAGTCGCGTTCGCGAGGCTGAGGCAAGTGGGGGCGGGGCGATCAATCAGAAAGTTTTGGTGCAGCCAACACGTCGGGAAGGAATGCACTGGTAGCAGGTGCTGTTATATCAAGGCTTGCGCACAACCTTGGAAGTCGTCTTCTGCGCACTACACTACAATTGCTTAGCAATCGTCAGACGCAATTGCGCAAATTTGCCACTTGAACATCGGTTACCTGCGCATACCTGAGTTTACAACAACACCACTTTCTAGATTACCGCTGCATCAACTTTTTCACTACTACGTCCGATCATCAGTATGCCGCCAAAGAAATTCTTAAAGCCGAAGCCAAAGGGCAAGGTGAAGCCGCCGGAGCCGGAGACTGAGAACGACTTCCTTGAGGCTGCGGACGAATTCGAACAGGCGGCAGGCAAATGGCGCGCAGGGGACGCCGCGAAGGCTGTTCGCTTCTTTAACCGAGCGATAGATGCGTACAATGAGGGCCTAAAGCGTCATCCTCAATCATTCGATCTTGCCTACAACAAGTGAGTCGTCGAGGTGCCTGCTTGTTCACTCAATGCTAATGGTACTAGAGCGAACCTACAATACACCATCTCAGAAGATGAGCGCATCATCTCACATTTCGGGAACAGGACTGCGCTGTTAGAGGAGACTTTGATGTCGCATCGCTACGCCATCTCACTAAACCCCACAAATACCGACATTCTTTTCAACGCTGCGCAAGTACTTACCTCATTAGCAGAGGCCGGTTTGGAAGCCAGCTCACCAGCAGCCGGAAAGCAAGACGCGAGACCGTTGCTTGAGGAGGCGTTCGATATTCTCACAAAATGCTTAGAGAGCCAGCAGCAAGAGTACTCTCAGATGCAGGCCGAGATTGCCAAGATCGAGGCCTCTGGAGAGTACAAGGAGGCTTGGGAGGGCGAACGTCAACAGCCAGCGGAGACTCAGGAACAAGACATGGAGACCGAATCGGGGGCTTCTGAAGCACCAGGAGACTGGGCTACCGTGGAAGAGCCGCTCACACCAACAAGCATCCTCGAAACCTGCACAGCACAACTCAGTACCTTAACGACATTACTAGGTCTCTACAACCCCGCTACAGATCTATCAAGTATAGAGAAGAAAGCACAGGACGGAATAGATACAGCTACAAACAAGATCCCAACACTCATAGACCTCATCGAAAAGTCTCCCGCTCCGAAAGCCGACGATGAGCCCAAAGCAGGCCCAACACTCTCCATATCCGCGCCGGAAGAAGCGACAACAACACCCAAAGACGATGCAATACTCGCGGCTGCCAATTTCCAAGCTAGCGTGGCGGAAATGCAATACCGTAGTGACAGGACAACATCGACAGAGTACGCGGGAACCGTAGAGCAGATATTCAGCAGTCTAGTACAAACCGCGACGCAGAACGGCACTCCCGATCTCGCAGTCATCAACGTACAGTCCGCATATGCGGACGCGCTCATGGACCTCGCTTCAGCACTAGCAGATGGTACCCAGTATACCCCATCAGAACCCACATTCAGCACAGACGTCGATATCCAATGGACAGCTCTTACGCAGACCCAGACTCTGCTCACCAAACTGTCCGGCGCACCCTACACATCCATCCTATCCCCGTCACGACTGGCCGATGTCTTCATAGCAAGGGGCGACACCGATCTCTTCCGCTTCCGCATCTCGCTCTTCGAGGGCGCGAAGCCTGCTTGGGCGAAGAGTGGACCGACTTTGGTTTCCAATGCTGGTGTCTTCTACAGAGGAGGCAGGAGCTATGCGGAGAAAGCTGGTGCGGTTGGAGTGCGCAGCACGGCGGATGCCAAAGCGGTTGTGGCTGAGATACTGAAGGCGGTGGCGAGTGGTTCGGAGATGACGAAGGATACTTGGAAGGGGAGGACTGCGGATGTACCGAGGGTTTTGGAGCAGATGGTTGAAGAGGGAATTATAGGACGAGAGAATGCTGAGGGATTGCTGACCTGGATGTAGGGAAGAGGTATCAGCGTGAGACGCAGTAAGTATGGATGCGTCTTAACAAAATCGTATGCAGTTGAGACCTCTCAATCCCCAGTATGGCTTATCTGACCAGCTTGCACGGCACCACTGGCACCGCTCATGTTCCTACGGTGTTTGCGTCTCTCAGGAACGCGGAGAGACTCTTCTTTAGGTGTTTGACTGTCACTAGAAGCGTTACCCGCTTCAGTCCTGTTACTTTGGTTTGATAGTTTCTCTGTACTGAAACTGTGCATATCGTACGTGACGCGAATCTCTGGCACTCGGCGCCTTCGCCGCTTCTCAGGCACACCCAACATTACACGTGTCGGAGTATGATCCACATCATTATGGATACCAGCGATCGTTTCCACTTGGTTTAGGTCCTCCTTGAGTTCGCGCTGAAACTTCGGTATGTCTGGTATGGTGCCTCGTACATTTACTTCAGGGAGTGTTGTGTCATGGCTTGTCGGAAGGCGATCGGAAACTTCGGCTTGGTTGCCTAGCCATTCAGTCGCAAACCAATCCGCACCGCTGTCAGCCGTAGAAGCCGTTTTATCGTGCTCGTGAATAGAATACTGATTTATCAAATCGTTCCCGCTGGGCCCATCGTGATTTTTCTTAAGTGCTGTCTCGGCGGCATCCACAATTTCTACGTTCGGAATATGGTTTTCGGATTCGTTCGAATCTGTAAACGTTGCAATCTGCGCTCGTGCCTTATCAGCAATCGTTTCTTCTATCTCTCGACGTCGCTTTTGTTCTCCCAACAGTTGCGCCTCAACCTTGTGACGAAGAAGCATTTCATTTTCAAGCTCTTTCCGACATTGCATGAAATCAACTTCTTGGTTTGCTTGCAACTGCGCAAAATGGCTATGCCATGCACGCCTCAGGCGACCCTGCTCTTCTTTCTCTCTTTCCAGCTCCCTTTGATGTGATAAATGTAACGCTTCCAATGCTTTGTCTCTTCGCGGCTCATATCCAGTTTTGTTTTTCTTAGCCTCACCCAGCCGTCTTTCGAGCTCTCCTATCCGCTTTGCAGCTCTTGCAGCATCTATTACCATGTCATGATAAAGATTTCGTGCAACCAATGTCCTCTTACAACAGTGGCCAAAGACAGATGGCGTTGATCCTTCATTTCGGTACGAATCGTAGGCTACGATGCCATGCAGAAGCTCGATAGCTTTTGGTCGGCGTTTGGGTCTCGTTGAAAGCATGCGGCTGATCGCGTATTCCAAATAGTCTTCTCTGCGGGTGCAATCTTCACTGTCAGTTTCCAGCCACGTTGACTTATGCTTTGTGTTTGCATGGAAGGCAGGGTCGACTCCTCGATGTGTTCTTAAGAGCTGTAGCGAGCCTCTTCTATGCACGGAGAGGATTTCGAGGAGAACACAACCCAAAGAGAACATGTCTGCTGCTCGTCCACTTGGCTTCCATGCAGCTACTCTAACGGTTTGATCAGTACTTGCTGGATAAGATGCGCTGTCAATAAGCTTACTCTGGAGCAAAATAACGGGGGGTTCCGCGTTCATTGTCCGTCGCGCTCTGAGAAAGTAGTGTAAAGTCTGTTGAACTACCGAAGTCTGTCAACCACAATCGACCTGCCGAAAGAAGTATGTTAGATGGTTTCAGATCCTTGTGTCTAATCTGCTTCTCGTGCAAATAGGCGATTGCGGACACAAGGCAGCCGATCCTGCAATAAACAATGGACGCCCAGCTACCTCCGCCACTTTCTGGGAAATCATAATGGAGAGCCTCTAATCGAGTTTTCACGTCGGAGTCGAGAGAGCCACGTCGCGTCCCGGATGATCCACTCTCATCCGCAGCTACAACCTTGGACCAAGCCTCGACATCTTCGAAGAAGGTGTGTAAGTCGCATGTAGCCACTGGGTACAGGAGAATACCCAAATGCTTTCGCTGGACGTATGTTCCGATGAGCTGTACGATGTGCACGTGAGACAATCGCTTCAGTATTTCGACCTCTTTTCTTTCTCGCTCTCCAATGCGACGTCTGAAGAGTGTTCTCTTGTGAGCAATTTTGTAGCCTTGTATAGTCGTCTCATAGACGTCACTCATTGCTCCTCGACCAAGGAATCGACCTGATGTTTGGGTCAGGTTCACTGGTACAGTCGATACCCCAGGTGTTGACTTACCTTGCACGATAGGCAGAGTTTCTTCATCGCCAAAGTCGATATGTGAGCCCCTGTCTAATTCAGACCAATCCTTGATATCGATCTGATCTCCGTTGGAAGAGAGTGTGTCCTCAACAAGAGTTTCGTCCGCGTATGGAGAGGTCGAAGTATTGTCCCAGCCTTGCGCCTCTTGTGCTCCTTTGTGTACATCATCAACAGTACCCATGGCCACTGGAACGCCGAAAGATGCGACTACAGGATGATGTATGCGGTGAACTCGGAAAAGCTGGCGGTAGGTAATATCGATGTGTTGTAGTGATGGGGGAAGCAGGTGCAGGTTGCGGCTGAGCGGAGCTGCGCCTTCTCCAAGCCGCTGCGAAAAGAAGGCTGCACATGGAAAACACGGCAGCCAATCGCACTAAGTGTATACATACGGCCCCCGAATTTGAGGCTATGATTTCAGCGAACCTATACGAGGTTAGGACACAATACGAGATTAGGTCAGCAATCACGCATAAATTTGCCAGTGTCGCAACGGCCACAGTCTATATTTTCTATGGCAGATGACTGCGCATGCATGTTATAGTCTTCTTTACACCACCGCGCATCCTTAGATCTTACAGTGATATTCTGCCCCTCTTGTGTTCCCTCATAGCCGCGAGGTTTTGTATTTGAAGTAAGTGAACATACCCAAAGTCTGCTCAGCTTATCTTTGTCCAGCCAATCTCCGCTCCTGGACCTCAGACAAAGCCCGGCTACCGCTCAGGAAAGCAACAACTCCTACGACAGCAGCCGCTGGCAGAGTCTGGAAGAGGTTCCAGGTGGTGTAGTAGAGAAAGAAAATACCCTCCATCGCCAGGATAGAGCCATAAAACAGCCCGTGCGACACGGGTGCGTTGCCCAGAGCCTTGCTCAGGTGGCTGGTGTTCGCGCCCAGTGTAGCCCATACACCGAGAAGAATGGGCAGCGCAGCAGCAACAGCAGCCGCGAACACAATTGTTATGATCTTAGGTGGAGACTTAGCATCCTCTTTGAAGATGTGGTGGATCTCAGATTCGGCGGCGTAGCGGACGGGAGGCTCGGGGACGCTGAGAGGAACGCTGGGGTCGCGGGTGACGGCGAGGTCGAACGCTTTGCTCTTGTATGGCGCGGAAGAGCCGAATGATCCAATGACGATCGATGCGACAATTGGTTTCTCAGATGTCAAGAATTGGTGGGGTAGGTCCTTGTGAGACTGGATGTGTTAGCTGTGCTGGCAGCCATTGCAACGCTTCACCTACCAAATCGACCTTTCCCTTGCCGCTGTCCTTTACATTGAACACAAAAGACTCTTCCAAACCTGTTGTTGGTTCGGTCAGAGTAAGGAATGCCTGATGAGGTCGCTTCGCGGTGCTTCCATCGAGGGTTGTAAGGACAAGCTTCAATGTATCCGTTGCGCCCAACGATACAGATTTGCCCAGCGGTGTCAAAGGACTCAATCTAAATGCTCATTAGTCCTGCAATAATTGCACATAACGCAAGCTCAAGCTCACTTGTCCTTTGAACCTCCGCCAACACCAGCACCTTTGCTGGTGACAGTCACGGTGGCATCCTCAAAGCTCCATGAGGAAGCTGCGGAGACAATAGCCGCGCCCGAAAGTAAAAGGGAAGAAACGAAGCCTTGAAGAACCCTCATCGTTGCTGATTCGGAAAGAGTGAACGCGGAGCTGTCAATGTTGCGCCGACACAGACGTAAGCGTGTCCTTTGCCAAGACTTCGACCGGCATTTTCCGGCGCTAGTTGCCCATGCCTTCCCTCGTCAACTCAACTCACACGCGCGGAGAGCGACGTCACTTGATTCACAACTGATTATTATGCATCAATCTCGAGGTCATATTGAGATGTTGTCAATAAGCATACTCACAATGATGAAAATCGTTTGATCGTTGCGTCTCTCTGCAAGACTCACACATACAGACAGCCATACTAACGGACCTTTCTCCTGCGCAACAGCACCCTCCACCTGCGCTTGGTCTTTGGAACCTCATCCTCTGGGCCCTCTGGGCCTTCTGGATCCTCTGGACCCTCTGCATCCTCTGAATCATCCAGATCTGCTATCCACAGCACATTAAGTATCAATCTAACCCATTGTCTTTCATCCTTCGGAAACATCTCCATCCACTCCTCTTCAACAGCCACCAAACATGCCACATCCCCATCCTTATGCTTTCCGCGCGTTGCGTCACGATACATCTCCAGAAACCGAAACCCCCGCGACGAAACCAGCGTCCTAAAGATAGCGAATCCCAAATCCGGTACTCGAAGGTGGTAGTTATTAAACGCAAACGGGTCCACCATCGTGTTACCCCTCAGAACCTTATACGGATCATAAGATAGCTCACCCAACCCAACAACAGACTCTTTCCTCAGATCCTGAATCCTCTTCTCAATCACATCTGTCGTAACCGCATCCCCAATCCTATTCTTAAAATCAAGTTTCTGCTGCAGCTCATCCAGTCCGCGTGGCGGATACACAGCAGCGTACTCCGGCTCCCCATATATATGATACCTCGCTGTACTATAGTCGGTTTGCCAACACCTAGCTATGGCTTCTGAGATATCGTACTTGTCACTCTCGCTGACGTTGTCGGTATAGTATTCCGGTTGTTGCCACCATTCTGTTCGGCAGAGTGGGCATCGCCGCGAAGAGCCGGATGAAGTGTCGAGGCTCATTTGGTGGATACAGGCTGAGCCGAGGATGTGGTTGCAGCCGGGGAGGTTGGTGATGGCGAGTGGCTTGTCGAGCATTTGGAGGGCGAGGTTCGAGCTGCCGTAGGGGAGCTGGCAGATGGCGCATGTGTCTTGTTCTGAGAATAGGTTTAGTTGCTTGGTCGATGTGTGGTTTGCGATGAACTGTGAGTAGGTTCGGGGTGTGGAGCACTTCGTGCAGCAGGGGTTGTTCTCTGCTGGAGTAGTGGACATGGCTATCTAGATATTTAGCAGTCTTGGGAAAGATACTAGAGGTCGTGGTAGAAGGCAGATAAATAGATTGACGAACACTTCAAGCGCGTTGAATGAAGAGCAATCTTGAATTCCATGCTTTGCACGATCTGCCTCGTCAGGTAGAGTGATGAACAATTCATGACTAGTGCCTGCCACGCTTGATCTTGTGGAAGTGAAGTGTTGAATGTGATTTCGAAGTGGTGAATAACATGATACTAACTCCTGAAATATTCGATGGGTATGTTTCATCGTTTTATGTTACAAAAGGTTGCATCTGTGGCTAATACCACAGCCCCGTAGCGCGTGAAGCGCAGGTGTTCGTGTAGTGACAGACGGACTGCTTCCAAATTCCCAGGTCATGCTCGTACAATATGTGGTGTATATACAACGAAGGTGTGTCGTCCGAATCGTGACAAGAAGCGCAGTGCATCTCTTCACAGTCCCTTCTCTTGATCGAGGGTTTCCTCATGATGGTCAAGTTCTCCGTGGCTTTGTGGGTTTATTTTCCGACAGTCTGATCTTTCAATTCCTTTGTCTTCTCAGCGACCATGTCAGTCACACCCTTGGCCTCCTCTCCCACTCCCCTCGCCTTCTTAGCCATCCTGTCCTTCCAGGCCTTGTCTTCCTCGTCTCGCATCTCCAACTCCCTCAGCCACCTGTCTCTCTTGTCCATGCGCTCCTTCTGCGCAACTTGCTTCTCGTACTCCTTGCGCTTCACGCGGTCCTTTTGCCAGTACATATTTCCTGCTACCAGTACGGCGATTGTGAAGGCTTGGGCATATAGACGTCGGCGGAAGTACATGTTGGTCGCCTTGTGGTCGCCTTTCCGCATCGATCGGGTTGCGCCGATGATGGCCCAGACGGTCAGGCCGCAGCCGAGGGGGACGAGGGGCTCTTCGCGGAAGCGGCGCCATATCTTGTCGAGGGTGTTTTCATTGTAGAAGTCGCTGGATGACGTAGTTAGTAGGTGTATCTTATGTAATCCTCAAGATTGGCTAGAAGGATGTCTGAGTCTACATACGCATTCTCGTCGAAAGAAGAGGGCAGCGGCGCGCTGTTTGGTGGTCCGAAAGACATGGTGGGTGGTATGCAGATGCAAATGCGGAGGCGGCGGAGGTGTCGCGTGGGTAGAAGTGTACAATGACAGGGTCGTTACATGAACCCGCAGATCTAGAAGACTGCGCTAGCTCTGAATGCGCAAATTGAAGCTATACAGAAGCCCTGGAAGCGCTATATCAGGTATAGAGTGGGTTGTGTATGGCTTCAAGATGCGGAGCAATCGATTATCTCACCACTTCGGCCATCGGCCCTTCCTGATGTTCCAGGCCCGATGCGCGCGAGTGGTGCCTACAACTACATGACCAAAGCTGCGCGAACCACGACAGCCCGGGTCAAGCATCTCTATCCACTCCAAACCACCACGTCGCCTTCAATGAGAGACGAGGCGACAGGCAAACTCCCCTCGCTGCGCCATGAACGATGAGGCCGAGTCGTCTCGAGCTACTCAGCGCCATGACAATACCGCGGCATCCCACCTGGCCGATCTAGAGGATGCGCTGGCCCGCTTTGAAGAGGCGGAAGAGCGAGAGAAGCAGAAGCAGGTCAAGCAGCGGAAATTGGATGCGAAGAGGAAGCGCATACAGATGCTGGGCGAGCTGTTGCGGGAATTGGACATGATCGTCTACCTGGAACTCATCACGCTCTACCACTTGGAGTACGCTTACCACTCACATGCTGCTACTTTGCGCTAATCGTTTCTGTAGCTGCTCGTTCTTCTGGCTCCTGTTCAAGGCACTTACACATGCCTTCCTGCTGACGCCTATCCCCGACACCGCGACCGTCACCCGCCCACCAGACGAACCGAGGCCCTTCCTCCCGCTACTCCTGATATCGTTTGGAGTAAATTTCCTCTTACATCTTACATATCCCGCGCCATCGGCTGGCGAAGATACCCGAGGCTATCTGCACGGCGGCTTGATGATAGACTTTATCGGGCAGCAGGGACCCACGAGCAAGTGGAAGCTCGGGGCGCTCGACATATGCATCCTGTTCCTGCAGCTTGTCATGGTTTCGATACACGTCAAGAGGCGGGAGCTGAAGAAGAAACTGGCCAAACTGTCAGCTGGTGGGGGTGCACCGAACACCACTACCACCCGAGCCACGTCAGACTCGGCACCGACAGCGACGGCAGCGGCGACGAATGACAACGCGAACCGAGATCAGGATGCCGATGATGAGGAGCGAGGTGTGTTACACCGAACCGATACGCTGTCAGACTTTGGCATGGATCCCGAAAACGAAGAAGACGCCTTACTACCGGCATCCTCCGAATCTGGCCATGCCGACGCTATGGAGCTTCTCAGTTCGGGTCAGTGTGTCATTGGCGACTTCACTCTCATCGACACTCTTCTCCAAGAGAACCGAGATTACGCGGCTTACCGATTAACGCGTACCGAGAGCGGCAATAACGACATGCCGGAAACGCTGCGGCGGCTCAATACCTTGCGAACTCGTTTCGGCGTGGGTGGCGGGTGAACGCAAGTAAGACGTTATCTTATCATCGCCTTGCTCCGATGCACGTGTTCCAACCAGCTCCGCGGTGACACTGCTGTGACATGCCATGCACGTTGTCCCAATGAATTATTGCATGCAGCACACAAAGCCACCGCATACGCCTAACTCATGCACGTTCGGCTCGGGTGCCCCCACGCGTTCGTTTCCCGTTGTAAGACGGCTAGGAGGGCTCGTTGCGAGCATTGGTGGCGCCGTGCTTGGACTACCCCAGTAACATTATGCGACGTGCAGTTGTGTGATCGCTTAGGTGTGGCGGTACATCGAACAGATCACCATGGTCTTTGTATGCATGAACGGGCCTGGGGCACTTCAATTAAGGGGCACATGCGGTGGAAATACCACTGCATTACGATCCCACACCAGCTGCGCATGATGCCAATGTCGCTTGAGATTCCCGACAATTACTCTATGCCGTTCCTCATATGATGGTGCTCTATCAGAGAGCGTTATCTACCTGGTATTAAGCGATGGAAGAGACGTGGGTTATAGCAACGCGGGATTGTTGGTCAGAGCTAGACTATTCCAAGATGTTTGCCAAAAGGCACCCACAATACTGCAAAGATTGCCAATACAGTCAGCACTGGTACTGCAGCGTTTTGCCAGTCGCCAGGGAACTTGATCAGCCAATAGATCCAGAAGCCGAACGCAGCAAGTAATGGGACGAGGTGATATACCGCCATGAAAGCGAAGGAGATTGCGTGATCGGCCTCCAGTCCCCAGGCGACCGCGATGGCGTCGTCGGACTGTATGTCGAACTCGCTTTTCTTCTTCGGTATACAGTTTAGTCTGTATGAGCGGCATGGTAGACTCACGCAATCATGCCATGGGTTGAGCCATCGCCAATCACAATTCGTGTCGCACGCTTTGAGGCAGACTGCGAATATTTTAGGGGATATCATGGGAATTGTGCCTGGTTTCGGCGCGTATTCGTAGTCATCTCTGACACCAGGGTAGTCGGGTAGATCGTCGCCTTGGGATAGGACGCGTCCGGTATCGAACTTTTCGAGTTTGACGAAGCGGCAGAATCGAAAGCGGAATGGTGAAATGAGTCTTTTGATCCAACTTCGGTGCTTCTTATATCGTGTTTTGAGCTCGCGGAAAAAGGCCGGGTCGTTCAGTGCAGCTGTAATGCTGATTTGTTCGACTTCAAGAGACCATCGCGAGCCTTGCACACCGAAAAGGACGCGCAACGATGGGTCTGGGACTGTGTTTGACGGTACAGAGGTTGGCTGTTCGAGAACTTTCAGTAGTGACCTGGCACTACCAGTCGCCAAAGGGTTGTCGTTGCCGGGGACCCTCCAAGCCGTTTGAGAACTAGCCACTGGTGCTGAACTTGCGGAAGTGCTTGTGGGAGTATAACGTTGACTCGCTCTCGAGGATCCACCAGCAGCTGCCCTGAGCAATGCCGCTGGTTTATTCCAACGCCTTGAGACCTTCCCAGTGCTATTTGAGACTCTCCCAGTGCTATTTGAGACTCTCCCAGGGCTATTTGAGACCCTCCCAGGGCTATAGGTACGACAGTAAGAGCATAGTTCCTTATCATGCGGAAATGAGCGCATGACCCACCAAATCAAGTTCTTCTCTACTGAAGACACAATCTCGTACATTGAAACTCCACCAAGCTGTACACGTTAGGATCTCTCCCCATATGTACAAGTTGCTACCAGGGGCATCACACGTACCTTCCACTGAACGCGATACTCTTCAGGCACTCCAGGTGCGACATCTGGTACGCGAGGAGCTAGAGGCCACCAATCCCATTCTGCCGTCGTGTAGTCCTCGATCAAAGTCTTAACCTTGTTCAAAAAGGAAGCATCGTTCTCAGATGATAGCTCAATGGCACATACCGAAGTGGATGAGACCATCTCCTGTAACGATCTGCGTAGGGTCAACAGTGCAAGGTCTCTAGCAAGCTCCTCTAGAGATGTGGGATAATCAGATTCATTATCTCGTGCCGATGACTTTTGGGTAAAGCTTGGTTCTGTTGGAGTGATTGGTATCCGGCTCCTACTGTCCGTGTCATTGGGTCGCAAATATCTCTCAACGTCCGAAGCCATCGCATCCCAAACAGACAGTGGCGCGTAATTATCAGGGAGACGATAGTAGCGAGCCAACAAATTAGAGTACTCAGTAACAAAACGATCTTGCCCTAAGGTCGTTAGAGCATAGATATGTAGATCGCGTAGGGGAGACTCCTGTTCAAGTATATCAATGCGCTCTTGACCGAAAACTCTTTGTACCCTCTTCTGGAAGTCGGGCTCCCAGTTGGGGTGAATCAGAGGTCCTTCTGGTTCGTTCGGAGGTGCTGGCTGTATCCATTGACCGGATATAAGTCTTCTCTTTACAACCCCTTCATCTTCGTGTTCTGGGTCTGTAGAGTAAGTAGAAGACGAGCCGGTGAAAGG